GAGAGCGAGAGCCCCCAGAAGGGCTGAAAACCGGGGAGATGGTGCTTGCTGCCAAGCACAGCCGAAGCCGGCGTGAGATGGTGGCTGTCAGATCTCTGAAATACCAAATGAAAGGCTTCAGAATGAAATAGTTGTCTCTCTCCACCGTGCCTCGTTGCGTCAGAGGAGGTTTGGTCCACCACAGTCCTCCTGCTATGCCACAGGCACCATCCCTGTTAGCCAGCATTCCTGTTAGCCAGCATCACTATCAACACTAATAGCCAGCGGAGAGACTCCGCTTCTTCCTGTGGGGTGGAATGGCCTTTGGAGAGAGAAACAGATTTATTATAACACTTGACGTTAATTATCATTAACTGCAAATGATTTTATCTGGGTTCTTTTTGTTACTTCGCACAGGGTTGAACTATTTTAACAGGCATGATTTGGGCGTTGGACTAGATGACCTTTAAAGGTCCCTTCCTACCCAAACCATTCTATGATTTCTGTGTCTTTATTAAACGTAGTTATAACTCCTGACTAATGCATGCCACTGAACTTCACCCAGCAGCTGCCAAGAAAGTGCTCCTGGCTGGTTTTGACCTTGAAGGACTGTTTTTCCCCTGGGTTGTTTCTCACAGTGGCGAGCGATGGGCATCGGCTGCTTGGGCGAATCAGTGGCACGGGCAGCCAGGAAAGCGCGGCTGGGACAGGCCAGTGTCTGCGCTGGGTGACCAGGAGGATGCTAAGATGTGGCTCCCTGGGTGAGCACTGTGCTTGGGGACAGAGAAGCCCCAGCCTGTAGTTTTTGGCAACATTTGCCAGCAGTGTCCATCGCTGTTATGCTTTAGAAATCAACCTGGATGCCCAAATCCAGCCACGGGTCCAGGTTTGCCCTGACTGCTGCCCATATCAACCAGTGAAACAGCCCAGGATTTACCCCAGGTAAGGCAGAGCAGTGCAGGAGGATGGTCACGTCCCTTGGACCTGCTCCTCCACTCCCTGAGCCCTGCAGCCACCCCACACAGATGAGGGAGTGGGGGGAAGCGCTGCCAAACCAGAGCTCCCATGGGTGCCAGTGCCCAGGCAGGGGCAAGGCAAGGTAGGGTGCTCCTGTGTTTTAGGGTCTCCGAAGGTCCCGTTCCCATCCCCTTGTGCTGCCTGCAGAAGGGAGGGGCAGGGGAGGAAGAGGGGGATTTTTTCTGGTTTCACGATAGGAAGGATTTTCAAACCCTATAAATTCACTTTTGACAATCGAACAGCTAAAGCAGATTAACCTTTTTGCTAATCCTCTATAATGGCTTTGGAATCTCCTTAACCAATAAGAAAATGATAAGAGCCTGTTTCTTTTCTTTTTATCTATATCTATATTGTCCTCCCTTGTCTGCATTTTTTTTTTCTTTCTTGTTTTATTTTCCTTTCCTTTTCTAATATGAAATAGCCCAGCGATCCTATCTCCTGGAGACTCAGTAAACAGAACATCAATAATCCCTTTCCTTTATTCCTCTCCGGTAACAGGGTGCAGAGAAGTGTCTGCTGATTGGGATTTGATTACCAGCAGCTATCAAAAGTCTCTTTGTAAGATCTGGGTCCTAAATCCCATAATTCTTTGATAAAAGAAGTATTACCAGTCCATTTTCTGAAGTGAAAGGTACAGGAGGAATGAAAGAAAGCAATCAGCGGAGATCCTAATAGGCTAAGTGCATGTGCAGTGGGAAGGCAGGGACGGGCAGGGGAGGCCAGGGAAAGGCGTCCTTTGTTAAGGATTGGGAAGGAGAATTAATCCGCTTCGGGCCTATGATTATTACAGCCGAGAGCAGAAAGGGTCAGATCCTGCGCCTGCCCACGGCACGTCCCAGCTCGCCTGCCCTGCCATCGCCCTGGACTGGCATGGTGTGGGGAGCAGAACCCGGCCCCACATCCATCTCCTGTGTCAGCGTTTGGGTATATATATAAAAGCTGGGAGGAGTTTGCGATGATCCCTGGCATTAGCGCATCCCCAGTGCCTCTCCGGAGCGCTGACACCTTGGCGGGGCAGCAGGGAAGATGTCCAGACTGGCTACAAAGGCGTCTTCCTCTCAAACCTACAGCAAGTAGGTAAAGATTCAGAGAGCATGGTTATATTTTATGTTACACCATCAGAATAGCTGAAAGAGAGGCAAATAAGAAATGGAAGAAAAAACAGTGGTTTGGTTTTAAGTGAGGAGGGTCACAGGTAGAGTGGCTATGGGGCATCTCTTCCCGGCACTGGGGACCAGCAGGGTGAGGAAGGGCAGGCAGAAAGCAGGGCCAAGGAGAAAAGAGTAGGGACTGAGAGGGGGCTCTCCTGGAGACTGGCTCTCGTTTCCGCACGATGCTGGAGGGGTTGCTGGGCTGTTCAGTGTGAAGTCATGAGGTGCCACAAGGACCTTTGATGTGCAGTGGTTTCACAGCACTCACCTGTGTGTCTCCTTGGTGTACCATGAGTGGGACTGGTATCTTCTCTCCCCTGTGAAGAAACACCAAGCGGGAGAGCGTTCCCCATGTGAGCTCCTGAAGCCTCCTGAAGACAACTTAGCCAAGTTGTCTTAAACCACACTGAGGGCAAGACAACTTGGGTTAAAACTTTCCTAAGCAACCTGAGCTCAACCACACCTTCTCTATTTTAACCCCAGCTACTCACTTCAGTTATAAACCCAAGATGGAAGATATCCTCTCTCCTCCTGTGGATCGCATCTGCCAGGCCTTGCTGTTTGCCCTCAGGAGGGTCGGTGCCAGGCGTCCCCTCCCGTCCTGAGTCACCGCTCTTGGCCGTAGCCTCACCCCAGCTTCTCTTGCTGGACAGAAGAAGTTGGGAATTGAACTGACAAATCTTTGGGGAAGCCTGGCTGCCCCAGGCAACTGTCCTGGCTGCTCTGGGCTCACTGAACCGCCCATTAGCTGTGGCAGCAAGGCCACGCTCCTGCCCGAGCTGCTGCAGGACTTTGCTGCCTGCCTGCCTGCACACAGAGGCAGCAGGCAGCTGTCCTCCCCTTCCCCTCCGACACCGAGCAGGGGTACGGCTCAACCGTACAGGAGGTGGCTACGTGCCACTAAGCTGTGCCACAGAACTGCCACAAGCTGCCAGTAATCTAATTTATCAAGGGCTTTGAATCCTTGTGAAGAGTGTGTTGGATACATGCAAAGCATCTGCATTGTCACTATGATTAGAGCAGCAGAGGTGGGGGAAAGGGGAAGAAGGAAAAATACAACTTTTCTGCTTTCAGCAGAAAATAAATCAACTTTCACAGAGAGTTCTGGTGCAGCCAAAGGCTGTTTTTTTTTCTGTCCTACCATTAAAAATGATTTTTTATTAAGCTGAACTCTCTTCTCTCTCATATTGTATGATATGACAGCTCTCTTTTGATGGGAAAGCTTTCATTTGGCCAGAGAAAGGCATAATTTGCTTCTTTTAAGGAGTTAATCCTCTGGTCCATTTCCGGGCAGGGAACAGCTATCCTCCCCCTTCCTTGGATCGGAGGCGGCAGCACAATGGAGATCATAACCACCTCAAATCTACACCCGAGATGGAGAAATCAGATTTCCTTCTCCAGTCATTTTTGTGGGATTAGCTAAATCTTAGATCCACACTAACCCTTCACAAAGCTGCCAAGATTAGTTAGAATTTATTTTATTCACAGGGGGTTTATGGTTTTCTTTCCAAAGGGATTATATCTCTCTCTATATATATATATTTAGGGTGGCTTCAGTCATAAAGCAGCTAGGTTGGAGGGAGAAAAAGTGCGTGTGCGTATAAAATAAAAACTCAGCTGCAAGAATGACTTGAAAAGCCAAGACAAAGCAGCGATTCTGGATGGCTTCGCTGGTCCGTATTAAAAGCTATGTAAGCTGTCTTTCCTTGTGAGACCCCACTCCAGAGTTAGCGCACAGAGAGCAAACCCTGCTCAGTGTGAGCTGCCCGTTCCTGTGGCTG